TCTCCCCCAAACAGCTTACTCCAAAGTAGAACAAACCAGTTATGTTGGTGCTAAGATGGTGTCTTTGGCACTCCCCCTCCTATTGTGCCGGCCGTAAACTATTGATATTTTCACTGGGCCAGACATCGTCAATGCTGGGCAAAAAAACGTGCATCTCGATCTCTTAGTGGGTGAATGGTGGCACAGTGGTTAGTGGAAGAGAGCCTGTTATTGGCCGCAGATTTAAACCCCGGGCTTAGCGCATGGCTGAGGTGAGCTGGACTGGGAAGCTCAGTCCTCACCTCCTTCTACAGGTGTGCAGTGGAGAGCATACTGTGCTCCTGCATTTAAAAAAATAAAAAATAAATCACTGTAATGCCACTTTAATTGGTGATATGTGACTCAACTGTGCTGCTGGTTATCTCATGCTGCTGTATTCATTCATACCCATCTACTCACTAAAAAAAACTCAGTTCGGACTGCTGTTTAATATACCGTATTATTTTACATTATTAGTGTTTAGAGTATATCTAAGATCTTTTAGAGTACTGTTTGGCGTTCGTTTAGCATATATCTTAGTGTAGCTCTTAGATCCTTATATACTGTTTATTTTTAAACTTTACATTTGTGCTATTTTTGGGTGTAACTGGGACCCTGAGTACATATTTTCATTCCACCTCATGTACCACATGTGATGCGAATGACAATAAACTTGACTTGAACTTGAACTGACATTTGTTTAACTCTGGTCCCTTCAGTACACCCCCCCCCCCCCCCCCCCCATACACACACCCTGTGATTTAGGATGCAGCTTCATATGCAGAGAAAAATGCAAAATATGAATAACCCCATTGAGGATTAATACATTTAATACTTAGGACTATTATTGTATTGTATGATATGCTTTTGAATAAATCACCTTTGTTGGTCACACTTCACATCTGTCAGCTTGTTAACTCATAAACTTACAGTTTATCTATTTGGGAAATAAAAAAAAACATTTTGTGAAAACTTTCATATTTGGATAAAGATTTCTGTCTGACAGCATCAATATCAAAAAATAATTCACTCACAAAATTTAATTACTTCTCTCTTTACCTTTCCTCCCACAGCTCTCCCACCCTATGTGACACAATGCCAACGTGAAATGTAAGCAATGAGGATTTGGGCTGAACTTCAGCTGAGATGAAGAGGCAGCTAGAACACAGAACAAAATGAAAGCCAGTGTGGAGACAGAGCCAACACAACTTTATTTCTGCTGAAAAAGAAATATGACTCTTGTATAAAACCTTTTTTGTTGACAGCGTCTTTACCTTTTTTTTTTTTTACTGTTAGCATCATTGCAGCTAGTATCACTGTGAACTAACATGCATTTATAAAACTGTCCAATCTAAAGCCTAATTAGAAGCTTTACATTGACACAGTTGGGCTCATATTGTTTACAGGGAATGCCCTCTATGCAGATGATCATTTAATCTACCTGACAGAGGAGGAGGAGCTACTACCCACAACTGTGGTTATAAAAAAAACAAGTCTATCTGTGGAAAGATATACAAAATAAAGCAAGTATTTGATTAAGACTCACCCAGTACTTAGTTGTATAAGACTTGGATCAGTGTTGGAACAAAATAAGTCCACATGTGGAAAACCCTATTTAAAATGGCATAAAAGGAATAAAAATGGGTTACTTTAAATGATGGAATGCTTTGTTTAATACTCACTTCAGTGTCTTTTGGCAGAGCTTTAATTTTGCTGAGGGGTTTATTCCTCCACAATTTTATTGTCTGACTCTTGTGACTTACAGCTGCTTAGCCAACTACAGCTGGAAATATCCCTGAGATTACCTTTTTATGAATTGATTTCAGAAAATGTATCATCAGTGTTTAATCAGACTCCATAAAAGGAAACAGCAGCATTTCTGTCTGATACTCAGGATGTGGTGTTTGTGTGAATACCTGTCATATGGAAGCTATCAGAGTCTGGATGATTAAAGGAAAAATAGACGATGCAGACTACCTGTAGGAAGTTAAATATGTAACATGCTCTTCTTAAGCAGTTCTCAAAGAATCAGCCACAAGTGTCCGTTCTCATTCTTTGAATCCCCACTCCCCTTTGGTTTATTCAGAAACCTCAGCATCCAAACAATAGAGATATAAGATCATTTTCGTCCATCCGACAAACAGCATCATCTCATTTAGTGCTGGAACAGAGCAGAGATATTTTAACTACTGTTTCCACCCTGTTTGCAATAAATACCTTTCTGATGGGCATGGCAGTGACAACCGTACACAGGGGAACATGAATTAGAAATTAGGCTGATAAGAGAAAAAACAGAGAATCCAAGAAACTTAGATAGTGATGAAAACATAGGGGATGTTCAAACACACATGGCATTGCCAAAATAGATAAAAGAGTGCTGAAAAGAAGAAAAGAGGTGAGAAGGTCACATAGAGTAGCAACTGAGTCCCAATCATTGAAGGAAACAGTACAAGAAGAACATAGTTGCTAAAACACATTACTGAACTCAAAGCTAATCCGAAAAGACAGTCAGACTGAGTAAAAATAGACAGAAAAATAATTAAATGAATGAATTCAAAAATGGTTGAAGACAAAAACAACTGGACTTCTATTTTGTAGATGAAGACAAGAACAGAAGTCCATTTGTTTTTTCTTTAACCTTTTTTTGGATTTATCATTTCCTGCATGACTGAGAATCTACAACAGCAAATTAAATAAATAAAAAGATTAAAAATAGAAACTGCTTTTTAATGAAGGATGACAATGAAGGACCTGAATGCAAGTACATGGGAAGACAAGTTGAAAGCAATTGAGAAATTTTATATAAAAAAAAAGAAACAGATTGAACAAGAGCCAACAGTAAAACAAACAAACAAACAAGAAGGATAGATTATGAAGTGAGTTCAACAAAGCTGGAGTTCCTGTCCTTAAGAGAAAAACTCAAAGGATTGGAACTGTCAGAAACTCAGGTGGAGGAGGACACCAGAATAACCTGCACAGCCTAGACTGCAATGTCTAGAAAACATGGCTGCACATCTTGCTGGTTGCTTGGTTCCCAAAGTTCAGTCAGACCACAATCAAAACTTCACACATTTTCTTTCACATTTAAATGATCGACTAATCCCCAACCTTTGCAGCCCAGTAACAGCCTTCAATGATCCTGGCTTGGCATTCTTCTTTACTGCCAGTGTGTTTTTACATGGAAAAAGGCATTGCATGCAGTACTTGACCATGCTTCTGATCAAAGTATAAAACTGTTAAGACAACAATATTGAAATCCTGACATAAAAACTAATTTAGGGCAGTTTGTAATCTCTTGTATGATTCACACATTTCTGTGTGTAGCCTAACAGAGGAGCTCCAACATTAGTTGATTGATGTCCCAGCACTGCTACATTCAGGAAGTCCTTTGTCCCTCAAAAACCATCAGACTGTTCAACTCCTCCCCGTACGGTAAAAACAGAACCTTGTAAATCTGCGGTACTACGGACACTTATGTATGTGTATGTATATACAGTATATACACATTTACATATATATATATATATGTGTATACATATATATACATATATATATATATATGTGTATACATATATATACATATATATATATATATATATATATATATATATATATATATATATACACACATAAGTTAATTAGAGCATGTTACTGGATACCTCAAGTTTTCCCCTGAGATTAACAAAGTATGTATGTATGTATGTATGTATTATGTATATATGTATGTATATATGTATGTATTATGTATGTATGCATATATGTATGTATATATGTATTATGTATGTCTGTATATATGTATGTACATATCTAACTATCTAACTATCTATCTATCTATCTATCTATCTATCTATCTATCTATCTATCTATCTATCTATCTATCTATCTATCTATATATCTATCTATATATCTATATATCTATATATCTATCTATCTATATGCAGCTTCTTAAGGGCTCAAAATGGAGCACATTCATATTTCCAGGTTTCATTTTAAGTTTCATATGTCATATTTATCTGCCTGGATTCATGTGAACTAATTTAAATTAATTTGTCAAACAGAGTGATGCATATCCTGATACATGCTCAATAATCCTAGAGTCTAGAATGAGTGATCTAGAGTGATGCATGTAAGACAAAATCAACAGCCTATAGTTATTTTTTATCTATCCATTTTATGTCATCCTGATCCTGTTCAGGCTCACTGACTGATGTTTCAAATGCTGGCATTTTAAGCTTTATATTTAACAACTTGATCTGTTTTTAAAAAATAGTGCAACACTGAGCAGAACTTTGATGCTGCTTTGGTCCGAGTTTATTATATGAGACATTATTAAGAACACCATATGAGACTTTATTACCATGGTCTCCTTTATGATACTACAAAATTTTGACTTTCAGCTCAACCAAGCTAGCTAAGATGTGAAACTTAATTTGTAGTCTTGCCCTCAGGTGTGGCGGGGCAGCAGAGAGTAAAACAACCAGAGAACAAAGCAATAAAATGTCAAACTGGAAGGAAACACAAGGACTAAAATCACATGAGAAATAAAACAAATCCAGCAAAATACAGACGTCACCATGAGTTAAAATGAACACAATCTGCAATATGACGGCATCAGCAATATGCCACCAAAGATTTAAAAAGCATAAATCTGCAATGCCAGGAGAGTTTTTAATTGTGTGCTGTGGTTTTGACCAGTCTAATGAAATCATTCAACATGGAAACCCACCAACACTAAAAATATCCTCTCAAAGAAAACCGCAGCACCGTTTTTTTGACAAAAGTGATGAAGACAACAATTAGAACAGATATCAACTGAGGCAGACCTGTGAAAAGCCCACTTCATCCACAAACTTGGATTTCAGTTCCAAAATGTCTGCTTATCAAGGAAAGACTGGCAACACCAGGAAGTTTTGATTCCAAACAGCTTTCCATCTAAACCGATGGTATCACCGAGAACAGCAGGAAGAAAGACGGATCCTTACCTAGAACGCCCAGGCGGTAGTTGACCGTAATGACAATCACATTCCCGTAGCTGGCCAGGATGCTGCCGTCAAACATATTCCCAGTTCCTTCCATGTAGGATCCTCCGTGGATAAAAACCATCACTGGCTTGGGGCTTCCACTCTCTCTGATGTCTGGGAAAGAAGAGGTGGAACAGGCAGATGGACTGATTAGATGACAGCCAAGTGATGACATAATACTTTAGGAGGCTTTAGCCACCTTTTTTAATTGTATTTATTTATTTTTCCAATGTATTTCTGGCTCACAGGCTTTATAATGTAGAAACCTCTTTAGTTTCAGGCATCAAATAGTAATTTTCCCATATTTTAGTGGTGGCTGGAAAATATATTTATTTACTGACTCCAAGTGCAGTAGGTGTTAATGAACCAGGACAGGTGATGGGGTGTTTTGATTTTACTGCAGCCTGACAACATGCAGCAGTGGCAATTGAATGTGTCACACCAAGTTGAGACAGAACTTGGACAATTAATCTAAGAAAAAATCTAATTGAAAATAGCATATTAGGTTTGGCATGTTTATAAAAGAGCCTTGCTTCACTGAGATGCAATCTTGTAAAAAATTAAAGCCCTGTTTTTATTTTCCAGTGTAGAAAAACGTTTGCCTTGACTCTGAAAAAATAAAATGTACGCACTCGATGGCAGCAGAGGCAATTAAAGGGAATTAGAAACTGATAACGACACTTTTCTATTTAAATAATTGGTATTTTGTAATTTGAAGGATAAAGTGTTAATTCTGATAAAAGCCAAATCACTTCCATGATGTAGGAATAAAGATAAATTATGTGAGAAATAAAAACGGTTTAAATGTCTTCTCAGATGGTGTTTCAGTGGCTTTAGCTTCAATTGAGCTTCTGATGATCGCACTTTCAGAAGGTGTTCAACGTGCAGACATGAACTGCTGAGTGAGTTCAACAATCTGTCGCTTGTTTTGTCAGAGTGCCAATAAATCAGGTAAATTAAGTCAAATTTACAACACAGCAGTTTCTGTCTTTTTTCTCCTCTGTTTAAATCATGATTATTGCACTAAATGATATCACGGTGGTAAAATCCAAAATTATACACAGTGTCAATTGAGGGGTAATTTAATTAACCTTTTATTTAAACAGACAATTTGGTACTGTCATTACAATAATAATAATACTGCACATCAAAAGTTATTCCAATATTGCACAGCCCAAACATTTGCTTAATTATCTGCCTTATAGCAGGAAGACGATATCAGCATAAGGAAGTAGTGCATCTTTTCTTAACACATCTTCATTTAATGTCATATAGTTTTCATTTTATGAATTTTTCTCATCTACTGTATATGTGTACTTTGATCTGAAACAGCGTTACGTCTAAACAAGAGTGCAGAATATGGCATATTATACAACAAACTATTATACAGCAACACAGCGATTTGTAGCATTGGTCTGGACAAGCAAAGACCTTGTATAACATTTGACCTTGATTTGTGACGTTGAACTTGGCGCTGGGGTGATGAACAGTTATGCAACACTCTGTCTAATGATTGCGCGTATGTGTGTGAAGTTACATTAAATTATCTTGAGTGGATCAAAGGTCTTGGGCAGGACAAGAGAAAGTTTACGGACGGAGGCTGTATCATTTACAACCACATTTTGATGGGGGTACAAAAATGATAGAAGAAGAACTTTGGCAACCAGGTTGTCCAACTGGGGATTTCCGTCTGTCTAAACAGATCTCACTTGTAAATGAGTCTTCTAGGCTTAATGTGACTTATCTGTCTAAATAAAGGTTGATTGAATGAGTATGCATGGTGCATCATCATCATGAAAATATGTTTATTCAGTGTGGCTGAGTGACAGGTACCAGTCCCAACACTGTCTGTGTTCTGTGGGAAACATGTTTGCATCGGTGGAAGGGGTCAGAAAACAACCCAAATATCGGGTTAACATGGCATCAGCCAACCCTTGTTTTTTTTTTTTTTATGACTGATCGCTAACAGGATGGAAATAATCTTAATTAGGATATCCTTCGATTTTAGTGCTCACGTTTTATACTCAAGTTCAAACCTTAAAATAATGTCAGTATGGGACCTTCAAAGGGTGTCCCATGGTGCAGAGGGGGCTTCAGTCTCTGACACAACTTCAGTTTGAGCTGGGCTGTGAGGAGAAAGGATGGCAAGATCCAACAGCATCCTGAAAACCTACGTTCAAAACTAGCTCTCACTTTAATCTCTCGTTGCCCAGAAATGGGGCTTTTAATCTTCCTTCCTTGGTATCTCCATCAGTACACGTAACATCACACATCGTTTATCCCACTGATGTTTTATCAGAGAGCCACTCGGGGCCGGTGGGAGATCAGTGAGTCTATAGGGGATTAATAATTAATCAACCCAAGAAAAAGTTACCTCAAGTGAAACAAAGGTGTTCAGTTGCAGGAGGACAAAGGACAGCAGGTTTGTTTCTGCATTTAAGGCCATTGAAATCAGCAAAAACCCAAAAGAAGTGCTTTACTCGTTTCTTAATGTCGTTGTGAACGTGGCTTTGCTGCTTTCATGTGGAGTTCAAGTAGCTCAGATTATTCATCACAGGATTCCTTCAGAGTCAGTTTGATTTTATTTTGGATCCTCTTTTAATTCCCACTTTGAGTTGATCTTTTGTTGTGGAAAACCTGAGAGACTGTTTTATTTGGAGCCGAGTGTTAAAAGCACCAAACTAAACTAACTACCGGAACAGGAAAATCTGTCAGCTAATTTAAATCATGGTTATAAATAAAATGCGGCCTCTTTCCTGCCTTCTGTGTCCTCAGCTTGTCCTTTTATATTCTATCAAAACAGAGCATGCTACATAACTTCTATGATTTGTTATCATAATTGTATTTGGTTTTTTTTTTTATAATTATTTATATTATTCTTTTGCTCCCTGTATTGTCAGCAGAGACCACTATGCAGCTTCTCATCATATCTCAATTGAAAGGCTTCCAAAAACTTCCTAAAAGGTCAAAGCCTAAGGAAAGCATGCGTCTGTGTCTGGCAGTAAAAAGAAAAAGAAAACTACACATGTGCAAGCTATCCAAATCGAAAGGAATCTAACTGCATAAATTAAACATAAGCATTGCCTGAAATAATGCTTATCGCCTGTGGCCTTTTAATAAAAGAGTTTTGAATTAAAATCATCTTCTAATGAAATGATGGAGTTAAAGTTATTCTGATCAAACCTTGTGAGTGGTAAACATGCACATACAGGTCTCTCTTAAAAATGAGCCCTCGTGACTCAGTGAGACTAACCTGCATAAATAAAGGTTAAATAAATAAATGAAAACATTCATGTGATAGTATGGCGATTCCAGAGTTCTGGAAGTGCTGGAGATGAATATCTCAAACAGCCACACAAATGTAACCGCAATATCTGTAAAACTAAATAAGTTAAATGATTTATGTTATTAATGTGTTAGATAATATTGATTAGCCATGGCGTCCATCTTAAATTAGGTAGACTCTAAAATAGGCATGGGCAAACTATGACCTTTAGGCCATAAAAGGACTGTTGGAGTTTTTAAACCTTCCTGCCAAACTTGTACAAAGTATATTATTAAATTAAATTATATTATTACTCATTAGTGGTGAAGGCTGCACAGAAAACAGTTGGAGTCAGCCTCACCACCATCACATACATCTAAACCTCTTGATGCAGGAAGAGGGCCACCTGCATCATGAAGGATCCTACTCACCCAGCACACACTTCTTGCCCCGCTCCACTCAGGCAGGAGGTTGAGGAGCATTAAGTGCAGAACCACTAGACTGAGGAACAGATTCTACCCTGAAGCTGTTAGACTCATGAATCCTTAATCATGGTTATCACTGTGAAAATAACACAGTAATTCCACTTGATAGTTGATATGTGCAGCTGACTATCCATGCTGCTGATTTATTTCATGCTGCTGTGTTCATTTGTACTCAGCTGCTCACACAGACTCATGTTTGTGCTGATGTTGTCCGGCGTATTGTTTTTATACTTTGTCCTATTAGTGCTTAGTGTAATCTTAGTTGTAATGCATTTCTTAGTTCATATCTTAGATACTACTACTTTTTACTTTGCAATTTTATACTTTGTTGGATTTAACTGGGACACTACGAAATTTCGTTCCACCACATGAGCCATATGTGATGCAAATTCATTCAACCTTTATTTAGACAGGTAAATCCCATTGAGCCTCGATGACTCATTTACAAGAGAGACCTGATTTCAACAAAGAATGACAACAATGGACAACAGTGACAACAAATGACAATAAAGAACATTGACTTGACCTGACATGCATTTATTTTGAATTTTACCTGTAATTTCAACATTTCCCAAATAGACATGACCCACTCCAGACATGTTGACCTTCATTGGAATGTGGTGTATTATGCTGCATTCATGTACTTTTTGAAAGCTTGAAAGTTACAGTAATCTGCGTGATTTGGCTTTTTAGTTACAGTTAAATGTGAAGCTGATGTTGACAAACAACTGTCCTAACATACCATTGAAATATACATATATATATATACATATATATACATATATATACATATATATATATACATATATATATATATATATATATATATATATACACATACATACATACATACATACATACAGTATATATGTATAATATATAATAGTATAAAAATAAGTTAGTAAGGTTTATAAGAAAGCATAAAAAGGAATATTACAGTGATTTATTAACCAAAAGTAATGGTGATACGAAATCAACATGGCGAGTAATGAATAGTGTTCTGAAAAATCACAAGGTAAAAACAGGTATTTCACAATATTATGTGGAGGATGACAATGAAATCCATGATCAGAATGAAATTATAAATGGATTTAATCATTATTTTGTGAATGTTGGCTCAAGTCTTGCAGCTAAAATAGTGAAAGTAGATAATAATGTGAGTCATACAGTTATTGGTTGTGCCAACAGTATTTTTCTTGATGGAACTCTCAAAGAAGAAATAATGAATATAGTAAAACATTTTGCAGACAAGAGATCAAAAGACTGGGCGGACATGGATATGATGTTTGTAAAAGACATAATGAGTTATGTCATTGAGCCATTTACATATATATGTAATTTATCATTTTCAGCAGGAATATTTC